GCCAACTCTTGGGATACTCTTTTACCACCGAATAATGGGATTGACCGTCACATTATAACGCCCCCACGGCGAGCATGTTTGGCGTGACGGGGATTCGAACCCGCCACCCTCAGATTGCGAGTCGAGCGCCCTAACCACTTGGCCATGCCGGGCCAGAAATTAACTCTGTATATTGTTTCATTTACAGGTCCGTTAATGTACTTTTTTTACAATAACTTCATTTTAAGACAACCATGTCGTCTTGTTTTGTAATAGAAAATCCAATAATATTATTGCCTAAAAACAAGAACCAACTTCTCTACTGAACAATTCAGAAATAAAACAAACCTGTAGCGTCAAAGCTACATATCTTTCAAACCTTATTTAAATATAAATTCAATATAGTGAGTAAAAAAAAACGCAAAATTCAAAACGCAACACATGGTAAAAAGACTGCCTACTTTTAAACTAAGTTTTATAATTAGACAATCGTAAGTTAATTCTATCCCCTGGTGGATTTGTTTTGAACAATATTACGAAAGCTCTCGAGTTTGTGCGTTTTTGTGACTAGGTAAACTTAATATTGACTGATTCTTGTGGTGAAAATACTGGCTGCAATTTATACGCATCCGTAGATGCTCTCGTTCCTTAAATGTCTGTAGATTCCTTTGTCTCTCGTTTCCCTGAAGTTCTACTCATTAATATTAATTTCTTATCATAGCAAGCGATGTACTCAGGGCGAAAATACATAGTGAATTGAATTTACATTTTTGCCAAGAGCTCCGATTTTTTTTTAGCCATCTATTGAACAAGAACTGAATTAATTTATTCAAATTTGATTATTTGTTTTAAAATGGATTTTTTTTAACTAAGAAAAAAAAAGAGAAACGTATAATAACAAAATCCTACCTTGTTTTACTATCTAACGAGAAATTGTGTCATTAAATTAAGTTTCATTAAAAACAATATTCCGTTTCGATGGAAGCGCTCTGAAATCAACTTTTGTCTTATGGGCTAACAGACAGAGGCTGTGGTTTATAAGTCCGTGAGCTTTGTTTGAGATACAACAAACTTGATTGAAATACGATTTCCTGATGGTCTGATAAAACATAAAACGTGGTTTTGATTTGTTTTTCTTTTAAGCCTGAC